CACACACACACACCACACACACACACACACACACACACACACACACACACACACACACACACACACACACACACACACACACACACACACACACACACACACACACACACACACAACCACAGAGTGAACTGCAGAACTGTTTAGCGGGCTGCAGATTAGAAATTTGTTTTGTATTAAATGAGACGACTAAGAGGCAAGGTTAATGAAAGGGCACAGCACTTTGGGGTCGTTGTAATCCACCGAAACCCTCTCTTCACTGATTCCAATGTGCAGGCCGTACATACACGCTGCATACACACACATACACAACCCCGTGAGGCAGCCTTCGGGACATCCTCTGCTTAGCAAAAACAATGGGTATTAATTTTAAAAAGTGAGGGAAAAATGGCTGGTTGATGGTTTGTGTGTGTGTGTGTGTGTGTGTGTGTGTGTGTGTGTGTGTGTGTGTGTGTGTGTGTGTGTGTGACAGATAGTCAACTTGTTTGTAGTGCATTAACTGATTTGAATCTGCCTGATGATGTCCACTGAGCAGAGAGGTCACACAGTGCGTAGGTTTACCTGAGGGACTTAACTGTGCTTAGAGAGGAACAGCAGGGCATTCTGGGCCGTCCACACACTGGCCTTTCCTCTACTGCCCTCTCTTGCACAGACAGTGTGTGCTTAAGTCTGTTACAAATCGAATCATCAGAAATATTCTTCGAAAGATGTGACATAAACCATGTGGCTGGGGTTCGTTATGTGGTAGATCACTGTGTGTGTGTGTGTGTGTGTGTGTGTGTGTGTGTGTGCGTGCGTGCGTGCGTGCGTGCGTGCGTGCGTGCGTGCGTGCGTGCGTGCGTGCGTGTGTGTGTGCGTGTGTGTGTGTGTGTATTTATAGCATTAGTAATACTAGCCAAGTTTCCAAGAGAAGTATCAAACAACACATTAAAATAATCAATGGTTTCATATCATAGTCCATTTTGCCCCCTCTTCCACCAATTAAAATATGTCCGGAGCAGCAAAACATTATCAATAACAGCTTCTAAAATAGTATTTATAGTCATACTCTATATACAAAAACTACAGGCTGTTATAGGCTAAGGTTATTAGTCAATGCATCATATATTTGCAGCTATATGTATTTTTTGTTCAGAGTTTCATATAACATATTTGAGGAGGAATTAATTAGCCCTTCAGAATATGCCTACACTTGCCAGTGTAGTTTTTCTCCTCTTTAAAGGAGTTACAAATAAAGTACAAATAGCCCCGAAAATAGCACAATTTTCTCTATTGTCTTTAAGTGCTGGATTCATGAGATGTCTGGTTAAATTGATTACATCTTTAAGAAGGGCTTGACACTTCTATAAACAAAAAACGGCTACTCCAAACAGAGCAAGGTTCACAAGACTGTTAATTTTTCTCTAATAATCAAAATCCAGACTTCAGAGAATTATCTGTGCATGCTGCAATTAATCTTTGTTGCTTTCTTTCCCCTAGGATATTTGTATACCGTGAGTGAACAGCACTTAACTATTCTGTATCTTAGCTTAAGCCTTATAGCATAGTCAGTCCTTGATCATGTTCTCCGTATTATCCCAATGAATCATCTATTTTTGTTCCTCTCTGAAAAGTGGTGCAAAACATAATATTTGTAAGTCCCTTACCATCTCTGACAACCTGCAGCCCTTCATGACCAACACCTCAACTTGTTTACTTCAAAAGTCTTCAATCATTGCTACATTTACTTCATATCTTCACAGGAATCTCTCCATGTTCTTAGCAAAGGAACCACCGGCTAGCGAGGCATTTCAGCCTGGGCGAGATATTAATGAGTTTACAAGGACCTACCCGGTCTAATTATGTCGAGCAACTGCTGTCTCTTACTGGGCCACGGCTCCCAGGGGAGAACACAAATCTACCAGGCAAGCAAAACTTGCCTGCTTTTGACAAAACACTCGACACGCGCAGGTACAAATAACGCCATCCTTCATTACCACCGCAGCGATGTCACAGAGAGATTAATATCGCCGCCCAGCGTCACCACCCCAAATTTAACCTGAAAAATACCCGACTTTGGCATTAAGACAACGGCTATTAGCGACGGGGGGGGTTGTCGTTGCACAGAAAAGAAGCTCAGCATCCAGGAGAGATCTTGTAAGAGAGTTCCTGATACTGTAATTGAAATCAAACTGATTGGATGTGACCTTTGTGTAGACTGAACCATTTAAAATGTTCTGGAAAGTTTCTTCACCATGCTGACATTTGAACAGTGACACTGACATCAACCAATGCAAAGGACTGTCCTGTTCTTTAGAGAAAAGGTTGTAAATGTGAGTCTCTATATATCTTGATTTTTCTTCTACAAAGAAAGCATTCTTAGGTCTTGCAGTGATTCGATATTGTAGGGATCCTCTGTGAGGTATTTGAGATTTTCCTTAGTTTGTCGAAGCAAAAGCAAGCATTATATTCAAACATGTCTTGTTTGAAAGGGATCCACTATTATATAACCAATCGAATCTTTATAGATTCTTAAGCTGGAATTCCACTTGAGTGTAAAAATAGAGTGTAAAGTGTATTCTATTTCCATAATGGCATAATATCATTTGTAATAACGTTGTATGCAACAAAATCATCTCAGATATTGGGATGAAGCACCATTGTTACGAAAAGTCCAATCCCACGAAACTAGTATTACTAAATAGGCCTAATGTGCTCGAAATGCCTCCAGACCATTGGCGTTTTTTTTATTGGCAATAGTCTTTGGGTGATGTATTTGTATCATATCCAATGAGAATGAATGAATCTAACTTAGAATGTACCAGCCAACGAGTATTCTGTGTGTCCAACCTTCTTCCAAGGAACTCCTGCCATAGACTTCCATTGTTGTTTTAAGCTTTCAAACACACATGAGAATCGCTTTTGCACTGTGTCGACATCATGATCTTGGTTGTTGAGTTTCCTGATTTATTTTCTCTCTCTGTTGCATGTCTGTTTTGACTTCCCATGTTTTCCTGCCTATTGATTGTCTGTTCTTGGTTCATTAGGCCCCCTGTTTCCATCAGCCATGCAACCACCTGTACACCTGCACGTTATCCTCTCATTATGTTTTATTTTAATCAGGAAGTTGTGTTTTGAAGGTATTTTCTGTTAGGTGCTCCTGTGTCATGCATTTTGGTCCAACTTGCTCGACTTATTAGCAACATAGCAACAAATGTCTATTTATCAATGGCGGGAAATAGTTCCAAATACTTTCTCCACCTGTTTGAGCAGTGTTTGTTTCTTATGTTTGTCTGTTTCTTTATTACGTATACGTTTGAATACCATTTTAAAAAAATGTCTGTGTTTCTGTTTCATCTTAATGCTTTTAACGTCTAATATTTTCCAACCTGCTTTGAATTGCCTTATGTTTTTGAACAATCCTTGCCTTCCTTAAAATGTGCTATAACCTAGTCTTGATGGCCAAAACTGTAAAAAAAATACCAACAATTCAATCAAACCATTTATATCAGTTTCAATCCATTGGAATAAAAGTTTGATCAAAGTTTTAACAGAAGGAACTGAAGTGGTGCAACTTGCTGGCAGTATGTCCACTTTGCTAACAGTCAACCATCATTGAAATGCAGCTCTGAGGACCAAATGACATCACCTCCATACCTTATGCAAATATCCAGTAGGATCCATTACACAGCAGCAGAGATAAGTGCGTCCAGAACAGAGCATGGCCCACTCATACTCACTGCTAACCTCTTGTACAGTATATTTTCACTTCACACACACATTCAGTGGGCAGAGCATTAGGTATACATTTGCTCACACACACACTGGCACACACACTGCCATCTCTCCCCCTCTAATACAGAAATAAGTCACTTGACACTGCAGCGATGGCAGTGACACTGTGCATGGTGGAGGTGATGGAGTATAATGGCCTTTTAAATTTGTATTCCCAGAGTAAGAGTGAGATAGAGGAAAAAAGAAAGAGGTTAGCATTAAGCTAACTCTGACTTTATCTGCACTTATATGTTGTATTTACATCCAGCACGAGCTAACCAAAGGAAGTTAATAGTTTGAAGTGGGCCGAGCACATTTTTTTTTTTTTTTGTAGGTGCCATGCGTAGTATTTTAACATCACTCAATCTATACAATGCTATATAATGTGCTTTTTTTTGTCCCTTTAGGAGAATATGAAATCTCCGTTATTGACATAAATATGAAGACAGATTATCAGTAATCATTTCAAAGTGACACAGATACATTGGATGAACCTATGGAGCAACCTTCAGCTGCGTTTTTATCGTTTTTTCATGCCATTGAACACAACTTTTGATCAGAACAGCAAAGGTAAGATAATGTCCCGTTTTTGCTCCGTAAAGCTACGTTGTGTGATGTCTGGGTTTGCTTCCCCTGCCGCGAGTTTTGATCGCTTAGTGATGATACTTATATTTCTAGAATCTGTGGAATCTCAGCTTGCTAGCTGATATCTTGTTTATGCAGATCCGATAAGTAATAAAGTATTTCTACCGTGAGTTATGTGCTAAGTGCGTTAGCATTTTTCGCTCAGGGCTCATTTAGACGCTTCTTGTGAGACTTGTGTTTTGTTTTGGCAAAAATGGTTCATATCGTCAGTTAGCTGAGTTTCTTCCCGTTAAGTGGGTATTACAAATTAATAGGTTTTTAAATGTTAAGAAGCGGGCGGGGGCTGCCGGGCTTAACAGGTTAAGAAGCTTCAGTGCACATTCAGAAAACAAGATACATACTGGGAGATGTAGTTTGTGGAGACCGTACTTCACTGGCATATAATTGTTTGAAAATGAAATATATTTTTTTGCTAATTCTTGGATTTGGCCTGTGGGCCATGAGTTTTACATGCCCGCTTCAAGGTGACTACTTCTATTTATTATAGAAAGCCTAGTGATTGGACTTTTGCACCGAAACAAACTGTACTTCTTTCTACAAGGTTTCATTGGGAGTGTAACTTAAGCAGTGTCTTCTTCTGCCTATTGTAAGTTTTTGAAATTAGACCAATGCTGTTATTTTTCTGTAAAGGACACTTTAAATATTCCTGTGGATGGTGCTTCACTTATTGGATGAAATAACTTTATTTAGCTAACAAAAAAGTATTTCAGAATCTCAACTAACGTTAGGGTTAGTTTCTGATGAACACAAATGGTGGAAGGAGTGATCTTCTCAACCCCCTGAGCTCTGAAGACCTGAGGTTCACTGCGTAGCAATGGAACATTTAGTAATAACACATTTTCTAATGATTTTTTCTAATGATTTTGTTACAGTATGTCCACTGTAGAGGACGTCGGGACCATATTAGTTTGAAAAGACAGCCAAAATGAACAGATAGACTATGTAACGTATTATGGTTATAGAGTGATATTAATACAATAATACATTCACCTTTATTTAAAACGTAAATAAGTAATTGATCTGAACATTGCTGTTTATTTAGTCAATAAAAAACTAGTTTGGTTTTTGGTGAATCTTTCCAGATCTTCAAAGACTTTGTAGTCAATGTAGTGGGAAAAGTACCTCATTGACTCCAGTCGGCACGGGCTGTAGGGTCATCTTGACTAGTTTTATGGATGTGGTCTCCATTTGACCATGCTCCGAAAAACAAAGCTTGCATTCCTGAGGCAATTCTCATTTGTCATGGCTCCACTTAAAATAAAAACAACAATAAGACATACGTGCTACTCTTGGCCCACAGAGGGCCATGTCTTTCCAGCTCGTCCCTATCTGTCTCTATGTCTGTATCTGTGCGCTCATGGAGCCTCCAGCATCTTTTAGAGAGAGGGGAGAAAAATATAGAGATCAGTGCCCCCGTCTCACCTAACAAATTTTCTATTGTTTCACGACGTGCATCACAAAGTTTTAAAGTACGTAGTGACAGTCTCAATAAACACCGTGAACACGTTGTTGTGATCAAGTAATGCACTCGACCATACCGAACTGGAGACCCTGGGTCGGGTAAACTTTTACAGGTGCACATCACCTGTAAAACAATTGTACGTAGAGGAAATCGGAGAAAACTCGATGAGATAAAAGTTAGGGACTACATGACAGTCTCCTGTAGGACCAGGAAAGGTCAACTATACAGTAACCAATTTTAAGCGTACGACCCTTCAAGGAGAAAAGAAAAGTAGAGTTTTACCGACCGTATTGGTTTTGGTGTAAAAATATCTTCGTACTCCTCTTCAGTTTATACAACTTATTAACATTAAAAATGGTACTTTTATTATACAGAACCAAATAATTGTACAGCTCCTTGATATAATCAAGGACTTTCGTTAATTTATTCAAGTTCAAAAGTTTATTGTTCGAGGAAAATATTTACAGGTAAGATCACCTCAGTCCCCCTGGTAGAAGTACCTGACATTCACTACCGTTATAACAACGTCCTCTGCCTTGACTTCCGTCTGTAGAAAGAGCATGGTCTATCAATTCCCTCTAAAGTCTAAAACCGAGAGTCTAGCACTACTCTCTCTACCTCCGAATGTGTGGGGACCCTATCTCTCCCAGCTTNCCTTAGGGGAACCTGGGGCCAGGCGGGCTGGGGAGGGGAGGGGAGGGGGGGGAGACACTGAAGTCTGGCTGATCAATGATGAGAGGCTGCCTGAGAGACAGGCCCGAGGTGCAGCTCCAGCCTCCGTCAACGTTTTACTGAGAGACAACCACTGTCCACACACTGCACACCGAGACCCCCACCATTATTTATGGAACTTCTGAGCTGCATGCTCTTCATCATGCTCTACAACCACGAACACACACCCTGCACTTTCAAAATACTCCTAAGGGCAACAAAGTGGATTAATCCGCACCTGAAAATAGTCCCTAACAGATGCACCTTTCCTACTGTTTGACTTACTTTTGCTAAGAACTACAATGCCTAAATCAGGGGTGTCCAGACTTTTTTCACGAGGGCCGCATACAGAAAAATATACAAAGGTCTCGGCCACTAGAGGTGAGGTATATTGCCTCATAAGTTAAGTTATAAGTGATCAAAATCAATCAAATGTAGGTCAATTATGCTTGATACTTGAATATGCTTTAAGAGAAGAAAGTGCCTACATCACAGCTCTCCATAGGGTTTCATTCTTTTAGTTACTAAAAGTTTTGGCAGCTCATTCCTTAAAACAGAAGCCTCAGATTGCTTATAATAAGGGGAAATATAAAGGGTTAAGGGTAAATGGGCTGCAGTTGGCCCCCGGGCTGTCATTTGGACCACCCCCCTGGCCATAACAAAATACAGGTTTTTGTAAATGTAAATTGTCTGCAAAGGCTAACATCGTAAAGTTCCCTCCAGAAGGAGTTTCTCTCCCACACACTCCCATTGTTTAGAGGGGATTTAGGCATTTCAATTATTGTTCTATACTTTGGGGAAATCACTGATACAAAAAAAAGAGGGCATGACTGAAAGGTATATCTGTCATATGGTATATTATCTTTGTTGCACTGGCTTATAGTTAAATTATAGGTGTGATGGTTAGGATTTAGGTCATTCATTCAAGAGGGTGCTTACAAATATTAAAGTGTGTGTGTGTGTGTGTGTGTGTGTGTGTGTGTGTGTGTGTGTGTGTGTGTGTGTGTGTGTGTGTGTGTGTGTGTGTGTGTGTGGTAGGAACATACCTGATGGCTGAGCTCAGGCTTTGGTACCAGTCATTGAGATCCTCCTGGTCGCAGGACATCAGCAGAAGACTGGCTTTAGGGAAGGTTAACTGGAAGAAGAGGAGGAACAGGATGTTTGTTGGCAGTACAGGTGTGAATGATGAGGTGTTATGGTTTCATGGTGGGTGTTCGGATACAGTGTAATGTCAGCTTTTGGTTTTATTTGAGTAGAAACACCATCTCTAAGTCATCCAAGGCCTCTCTACAGGAGTGCTTAAAACTGCAGTAACATAGTAAAAACAGAAGAGGGCAGGACAAATCAAGCAAAAACCTTCTTCCTGCCAACCAAGAGCTGCTTTTCACAAGCTTTAATCACCTTTAAACACTGACATCTGTAGGTAAAGAAAAAAGGGACAAAGTCTAGTACAGTAACAGAATCTGCCACATTTATAATGTCTACTCCATTGTGTCCTGCAGGCAGCTGGACAGAGACATATTCTCAGGTGTACAGAGAGACAGGGTCTTCTTCCTTTGAGTCAACAGTAATTACCAACTTGCCTCAGATTGTACAAATCAAACAAACCAAAAGGAGTTGTCTGAAGCCCAGACAAAAGGGGCTTTTAGCCACGCGTAATTACACTGAGAAAGCTATTAAATACAGGGGATCAAAATCAGGCCTTCACCATATTAAATGACCTTTCACATTTACCTGCAGCTGCCGCCTGTAGACAGGAAGCTAGCTTGTTGAGAAGTGACATATCGATCATATGCGTTTGTATTTGGACAGAACTCGGTATAGACCATCAAACATAATGATGATTTCTATACAGGGAGGGGGGAGGGGAGCCTCTCATTATACATTAAATAGATTAAGATTTCAAATGTAATATCATCAAAAGTATTATCTAATTACAGAGTTCAATGAATGGGGCCGAAATGAGTGCCGCATGACATTAGGCACTCGCCACTTGGGGGGACTGCGGTTTGATTTATGCACAAATAGATTCCACTTCTATTGCGATGCGGTAATTAGGGATTTGTCAGGAAATGTGACCCTGTTAGGTAGAAATTACTTTGTATAATAAGAACGGCGGAGCCTCATCGGCGCACATAATTTAGCTTGATTATTTATACATCAAAGAGAATCTGTCAGGGATGTGGGAAAAATATTCAAGCGGCAAGGGGATATTAGCGGGAGGAAGACGGCAGACGGGGAGAGAGGCGAGGAAGAGGAGGAAGGTCAACAGATGGAGAACGTAAAGAGGGAAACGTGGGGCGAGACAAATAAAAAGGTAGCTCTCTGCAAACAATGTGTGACCAAGAGAAATACAAAAAAAAAAAAAATGGAAATTTTAATAAAAGCTATTTTTTTCCACCCAAACTTTGCATATAGATTGCCATGGCATTTACAGCTGTCAAATTTAATTTGGCTTTAATTCTTCATGGCCCTGGATGAGGAGGGCCCTGGAGTGCTGACAGCCCTTTTCTTTGAGCTCAGGTAGGGGCCCGGGATCAATAATGTGTCCTTATGAGAAATTACGTGTAATGCTATTGAGTATGCATTTGGGCCTCGGTGGGATAAGGGGCTAATGAAATGCCATTTCAGCCATTAGATAACGTGTAGCGGGGGGCCGGCGGAGAGCGGCGACAGGCTTGAGGAAGATGTATTTACTGGAGGGCCGGAAGAGATGGATCTGCAGCCTAATCTGATCCAGCAACTGAGAGATTCTGTTACAGCAGGCAGCCATCACACACACACACACACACACACACACACACACACACACACACACACACACACACACACACACACACACACACACACACACACACACACACACACACACACAATAATACAGCTCTGACTAATCTCCCCCCATCTGCAGCCTTTTCATTAGTCCCTTAAAGGATGCTTTTAATTCACACTGCCTACAACAAATGAAGTGACAAGCTGGATGGACACTCTTATGGGGATAACTGGAATTCACCCTCTCATGTGTGTTTTATGCAACACATTATCAAATACATTCTGTACTTAAACACATTTTAAATCAAGGCCTTTTTCGCTGCTTCGTTTAATGAAATAAATAACTCTTAATATCTTACATTCTGCTTTATTCTAGGATGTAATTCCTTATTAGTTTTTTTTTGTTTTTAATCTTTTTGAATCAAATGTTATAATGTGTTTCTTTTGCTTGTCTTAATGTTTTTTTTGAATTGCCTCGTGGTGGAGATGTGCTATAAATATAACTAGCCTTACCTCACTGTATGGTTGTCGATCCCAACGATTGATTGCTGGCAGGTAAACCGGCTAAAGTGGCGCTAACTAGCTCAGAGCTGTAGCACTGAACGCTGTCAATCATCAGAAACTGGCCTTTAATGTCTGATCAGATGTTAAAACTATATTTTATTAAGAGCTTAAACTGTGTGTTGATTAAGTGGTTAGTCAATCAAGAATGAAAAAATAAAATAACCTATCAATCCAAAATGTAATGCTTGCATAAACCTAGGCAAAATGTGAATGAAGACATTAAACTGTTGGTTTGAAAATAAATATTTGTCATGTTTTATACACAGAACGGTTCATGATGGTGGATTAAAACTGATTAATCAATAAATAATCGTTCACACCTGAAATTAATTACACTTAAAATGTTACTACTGCCTGTTTCCAGACAGTATTTACAATAAAATAATGTTGGGGTCTTGTGTTAAATGCATTTAGATTTCTTCTTTACATATTTCTCAAATTATTGTACATTTCATTTAGACTGACATTACGATGATCTCCATATTAAGTGAAATACAGAAGGTGAATTGTGATGCCATCAATTCTTAAGGGATTGAGATAACAAACCAGTGCCAAAAAACAATTTATGGATGTAACAATAGTTTGTTTACGTTATCTAATTATTATTATTTTAAAACCACTTAGATTCACAACTTATCACATCTGTATTTAATTAATTATTTGGATGATTGCCAGAAAATTAATGGGGTTTAATTTGTTAATTAATACAGTTGTCAAACTAATTTGTCAAATATCTAGTCTTATCTCAAACGTGAGGATTTGCAGCTTTTTCTCAGTTTTAAACTGAATAAATGTAGGTTAGACAAAACACAAAATGGTGTAGATGTCAGCTGAGGTTGGATGGATATTTTCCATTTTTGACATTTGATAGACTTAATGATTTTCAAGTTATTAATAAGGACATAATCATTTAGTGCAGTCATATTTGAAATGACTAACAGCTTAAACAACCATACAATATGAAAACGTTTCTGGTTACAGGTTCTTTAATGTGCTACAATTCATTATTTGGTATCCCTAATGTCCATGTCTTCTTGCTTAATACATGAAAAAAAAGAATCAGCTATTGGATGATTTATTAGGTCATTTCAGACCTACTGCACTTGTGCTATGTGAATCAAGCTTTAATGTCAAAAAGCATCAACATGCTGCCATTATTTTGGGCAGACAGCAGTGTGAACAGACAGTAGAGTAATGAAACCTCTGCATAGCCACTGTGCATCACAGGAAAACACATTAGCAGCACAACATAAAGAGCTCTTTGAGCGAGAGTGTATCTGCCGAAATGAATATTGATACCACGCAGCATTGGCACTAAACACTCGACTGCATAAACGCTTTCGTTACTCACTCAATGACGCGTGACTCCTTCCTTTGAATGTTTCATGACAGCAACTACATCATTTAGACACAATTTGTCAGCCGGCAGCTGTACTGAGACCTGGTACGCTGATCAGACTGAGAGGACAGGCGCCTTAAAAGTTCAGCTTCTGGGATACTTTAACAACAACCGTTTGAGGTGATTAGGAAGAAGAGGAGGCGAGGGGACACAAGTCTTCTCTGACATGCACAACTAAATGACATTTGTATTCAATAAGGCTGGAAAACACTCCTCGGTTTGGCAGATTGTAGAACAGCTACTGTCATGGCCATAACTAAGACAAATCAGAGCATCACAAGTGGAAATTAAATAATGCTTCTGTTAAGGACTCACTCATGTGTATATATTCATATCAATGAACAGATGTCTTCCCACCTGCTGCCCAACACTCACTGAGAATATTCAACTTTTCCACATTTTTATGTTTACACAGGAAATCCAAAATCCTGCATCGACTATTGTTAATGGTCTTAGTGCGGGAAACATTCGAAGAGTAGGATCTGTACAAAGAACTTTGGGATATATATTGGGAACATGTACAAAAGGCTCAGTGATAGCCAATGACTTTGTATCTGTGGCATGGTAATCTGAATCTAAATAAAACATGCATTTTGAGTATAAAGGGAAATACCTGATGAACTAACAGCACTAACATATCCTTGTAGATTTAACTACTGATTTTCTTTTTTATTGGATAGTCTTTATAGTTCGGAGACTTAACGATTTTTTGGCTTGTGTAACCATTAGCCAATAACCATGCTTCCTGTTTTGTACAGTTTTAGGTTCTTCAGTCTCAACAAAATCTGCTACAATGCTCTAGAATCTCCCTGATATGTCTGGAAACATGAATACTCACGCTGAGCAGGCCTCCCTGGCTTCTGGTGTGGCCGAACACCTTCTCCACGATGCACTCCTGCAGGGGGAAGACGTGCTTGCCGGCAAACTTGTCCCTGTTGGCGAGTTGCATCGGGCCGCAGCGAGAGGCCTGCAGCAGCATGTCGGAGAACAGGAAGAACATCTTGGGCTTGGCGACCGCACCTTTCCGAGGAACCACCTTCAGCCAGCCCTCACGGATGAACCACCTCCCTGTGAGAGAGGAAGAAACGGAAAGAGTCTGAGACACTGTGGTTTATGTCCATTGGCCTAAGAGTTTCCAAACCACCCTCTAGGGTTAGGATTTATTATGTCAAACCAATCACGGAAGCTGTTGTTGCCTTGCTAACTTCCTTCTTACTACACTTCCTTAGTAGATAGTGCAAGCAAGAAACATTCAAAAAGGCAAGGGAAAATTGTTGAATATGTTGGCTTGTTTTACATTTAGTCCATCCCTTCCTTTTTCTTTTACCTTAGCACAATTGTTTTTGTTCATAACGTTGTGTAGAAATACATTGCCACAGTCGTATATCTACCAAGCATCCAACAACTTCTATGTCCATCCATCCATCTATTCATCGTCAATATCAACAATGCTATCCATCCAACTTATCCATATACCGTACAAAAACACTAATTCAAGATTGTCCCTTTTAACAACGTTTGTATGTTAGTTTGAGACCATTGGTTGTTTTGTCATTTGACATTACTAAGTGTTTCATAGCATTACTAGAACAGACATGCATTGGAACTGAACTAGTACTTCCTTTACACAAACGGTATTAGAGGTATCAATGGTGCAGTACAATCCTATTCTCAAGGCTGAAACCCCGCTGCCTTTTGTAGAGTGCAAAGGGCATTATGTTACAATAGTCATTCTTTGCCACTGTCATATAGGAAACCCTTGTACGACAAGCTCCAGTGAACAAGCTGAAAAGCGACATTTGACCCATTCATTGAAGCCTGTTGTCACACAAGTTAATCCCTGCTCTCCACCTCTCACACACTGCAGACTACAGCTGTATATCCACACACACAATATGGTTTCTACCACAAAATGGCATTGTATTAAGTATATAGATCTTTCAGTTCCAATTCTCTTATATGGTGTGTCTTGAGTAGTTTGTTAAAGCTATTAAAATTCAATACCATAAAATATGTGACCGTCCTCAATACAAATTATTTATCCGATATCTGATTAGGTCAAAAAAAATGAAGGACCAATAATGCTTTGGGTTGGAGTTGGGTTCAGCATGTAAAATGCTATAGAACCCTACAAATAGCCAACCAATGCTTCTTAAAGGTCCCCTATTACAGTGGTTCCCAACCTGGGGGGGGGCGCGCCAAAGATCGCAGGGGGGGCGCCAGGCCTCAGATGATTTGAGGCCAAATATCATATTTAGACTTTTTTAACTTTTTTTTTTGTATATAATTGTAACGCAATACATGATTGTCACTAAAAGCCATGTCTCTACATTACAATAACATACACAAAATAATTGTTAGTAGCTATTAAAGGCATAAAAAGACAGCAATGTATAATTCTTTCTTTAATAGAAATGTTTCTTCTGCCCGTAAAGTTTCCAAACCAGGCTTTTCTAAAACATAGTTATTGTCCATCACATGCCGGTTTCAAGTTGGATATTTGTCCGCAGTTGCTCCGATCAGAATCGGTTCTCCTCCATTTTGTAGATTATTCACGACTTTTGAAATCACATAAACACATCGGCAAAATCCGGGCTTACTTTGAGCATGTGTTTTTAAACAGTTTAATCCCTTTTGTGAATTTTTTCCACTTCCGCGCCGTCCTTTCATTTCTTCATACAGCGGGAATCCAAATGAATTGAATCCTGAGTCGCAATAACCATCAAGTTCCTCCAATAGTGTTTCCTTAATTAAGCTTTCATCCTTCCTTAACAAAATACTTCACATTTCCACGCATTTTTGTCACAGTAGTAGTTGTAGGAATTTTTGAGGACTTTGAAACTTTATATTACCGGGCTCCGGATCCTTTAAGAGTACTGTGTTACGGAAGGCTTCTCTTTTCAATATCTCGTTTCCACAATAACGAGCATGTTGCGGCTGCTCTTTTCCAATGTGAGAAGCGAAATGTGATGAAAGCATACAGCAGATGCAGGGTGTGTCTCTCCTAGACATCTTTAGACTGGAATAGCGGGGGCCAGTTACGAGAAACGTCTCGTCTCGCAGGTTGCACACGCCAGGATAGAGGACATCAGACTCCAAGAGAAAATTTGCTCGAGTCCGAGTCCAAGTTTCGGAGCGTCAATTGTACCAATTGTCGAGTTTCCAAGTCATCATGCGCGAGAAAATCACGATTCCAAGTCCGAGTCGCGTCACAATCAGTGCGGCGAGTCCGAGTCGAGTCCGTGACTCCAATCCCTGTAACAAGCAGTAGCGCAAGGGTGACCAGGTTTTCCCAACAAACCAAATGTTGGACAAGGAAAGTTTAATGTTGTTTTTTTTTTTGTGTTGGGAACACCCCAAACATAAACAATGGAACAGAAAAGTTGAAAGTCACAAATGCAGTTAACAATTTTTTTTAGTATCTTAATAAAGAAAAGTAAACTAAGACTAAACCAAGGGCAGCAGGCATATCACTTCAAGTGTTTTTAGAAAATGCATCTTCCTAATTTTCAACTAGTTATTACCTGTAAAAAGTAGGCACCAACATAATAAATTAATAGATACAATAATAACATAACTACAATCAAAACTGGCCAGGAGGGAACAAAAACATAATAATACATAAAATAAAATAGCTTTCAGTTTTGTTCCATCACAGCAACAACCAGGTGGGCCCACGGTCGGGTTGGGCCTATTCTTGTTCACCTAGAAACCACTGGGTGTCTTTAACGTTCTGTCAAACAACTCTCCCACAGAGGCAGGGGCAAGCAGCATCTGTTTATTATGGACCGGCTGCTTTTGTAAGACCACATGAAACTTTTTCTTTCTTACTACATATCAGGAGTCTGGAAAAATGGTCGGCGCCAGCTTGTTTACCACAGTTCACTGTGGTTAACACTGGTGTTATTTCTGGCTGCTGTTAACCCCTTGTTCTTGAGTGGGCCCATCATTTTTTTGGTTTTGAGTAGGAAGTTCTCCATAGAGTGGGTGTTCTTTTTTTTTTGAGCGACACGTTTCTTGTGGAGAATTGCATTCTCGTTGTCTTTTGACGTCGTATCACGCCATGTGAATAGAAAGGGGGGGGGAATTACTCTGCAAAGATTTGCAAAAAAATTCTCTCTGAGGAGTCGCCCCTGCACTGACTTCACCCACGGGTAAGTGCTTCCCAGTCTTGTTGTATGTGCATCTTGTTTCTTCTTAGCTGTACTTTCGTAATTTCCTCCATTTCCATAACCCTGTTGCGTTCCACCTGCGCTATTGACTGACTTTCGTTGTTGTTGTTTGGACGCACACGCCGGGGTGTGTGTGGAGTAGTTACTCTCATTGGTTTACAGCTGTAAGAGTTGGACCCAGCACCCGCCGTGTTTACAGTTTGACAGCAAACACACCCACGTGATGATTGTCTTCCCAGCTCTTCTCAACAGTCATTGAATACATCTGGATCTTAGAAAGCGTTTTATCCTATCAAATGATTATGCGTTATCGTCTCAATTTGCGGGACGCCACCAAAACTCGTGAAATGCTGTGCAGTCCAGCGTGCAAAGCTGGGACATCTGGTCACCTAAAGTAGCGCTGACAAGTCACTAGAACGCAGCCACACACTTATTAAAAAAAACACCACTTTGAAAGACAGGCAACACTAACCAGCTTCTTGTGATTCTGTTTATTTGCATTACTTTGGACCATCGTTCGCTGGTCGGTTGTGTTGGTGGAGAGCAGGGCAGTACGTCTTTGTTTTGGTTTATTAGGCATCGCTGATTTAATCAATACATGGGTACCACAGGTTGTCGGTCCGTGTGTCACAAGTAGATCATAATGAACAAATACACCGGTAAGATGTTGATTAGCCTTTGCTTATGCTCAACAATTTGGATAGCAACTAGGTATGGATTTTCCGAAAACGCGGTTACTTAGTCAATACCGGTACCTGTTGGACGGTATCGGTATACCGTAAGGACGCTGGACAAAACGGTGCTGCTATCGGTTATATCGTTCGTCTACTTCCTTAGTTTAACTTAAACATTCTGGTTAGTTGGGAACCCCTTCATTTCCCGTTGATGTATCCGGTTTGAGACCATTTCTGATTGGCCCTGTAAATGCCACCTCCTCACTCTCAACAGCCACTCTTATTATTGTTAATTAAATATTATTTATTATTGTTGTGGAGACTTCCCGCAGGCATGGCGGACAGACAAAGCGATCGTAAAGTCTGGGTTGCACTTTAAAAAAATGTAGTGGCGATTTAGTGCAAGGTGCAATCTATGTACTCAATTAGGTAGCTTGTAAAAGGGGTAACACAAAGCAACTTAATGGAAGCATTGCAAAGAGACACTCATTGAATCTTAAACGGTGCTAGCGATACTGCTAGTCTAATAGTGCTAATCAGTGCTAGCGGGCTTCAGCCGCGCC